CCTTGAAAACGCTCACAGTGTGTGCTGAACATGGCTCCGGAGAAGCACGCAGTGGGTCGCCTTTCTCGCTTTCATTTCTTCTACTAACTGGGTTTTGACACTTGCCAAGGGATTCTGATGGTGGTAAAGGGAAAATTCACCATTCCTCCCACACCCTCAGAACTGTCTTCTCCTCTTAGAGCATCCTCTAGCCCTCCCATCTGTATCACACGGCACTAAAAGCACAGCATGCATCTGGCCAGAAATCATAGCCTCGTGCTAGTACAGATGCTCTACTGCTCTGCTGAGTGATGTAGAGCCCCCTTTGTTCAGTACAATCACCGAGGGGTAAGATACTTTTGGTGCCTATCTGTCATGAAGGCTTGCTCAGTGGTGGAATAAGCACACTACACACTGAGGCATTTTAAGAAAAATATCAGGCACAATTCACGCATGTATTTTCCCCAAGGAAACACTTTCCCTACCCTGTAATTCAAACCCACCTCCAACCTCCCTGCCTTCAGGTGGATTCTGACCCATCGCGACCGGGTAGGACAGGGCAGAACCACCAGGGTGGGATTCTGAGACTGTAACTGGTACAGGCGTTGAAAGTTTCACTTTCCTGTCTTGGAACAGCTGGTGGTTTCAAAGTGCTGGCCTTGCGGTCAGCAGCCCAATGCAGGACCACAATGCCACGGGGCCCCTGCCTTTGCTAGCCACTGATAGATGCTGAAACGTAGCATCCATTCACATGCGAAGGCAAGATTGTGAACATGCTTGTAGATTGTTGAAGTTGTGCCGTAATTTTTAACCTATTTCTAAATAAGACACCATTAAAAAATATATTTCTTACCATAACTGACCGGTCTATTTAATACTCCCTATAAAAGAAATGACTTACTCAACCTGACTGATTGCTTCCCAATAAGCAAATGTACTAAGAAATTGATTTTTTTGAGCTTTCACATGATGAAAGTGGACTGTACATATGGAAATCACCAGCTGAATACTGACAGTTTTCAGAGAAACTGCAGGCAGGCTGCAGTATATGGGGATCCATATACTGAGTTTGAAATAGGTCCAGTTTCATATTTCCAAATTTTCTACCAATGAGCAGCTTGATAAAGATATCATAATCTTATGACGGCTCATTTTAAGGAGCGCTTCCAACTTTTTTCAGGACGCGCATACCCCAGAACGTCTCTGGCACCAGCTCAGCAAGGCGCCCTCGGAGCCAGTAGGGAGATCATCTAGCTGAACAGGGAGGGCATGACAGTAGATGTCTTAAGGCCAATCGTTTACTCCTAATTGTGATAACGGAAAGCTTGCCAATTTTCTGATTTGATACCATCTCAAATCCACTTTGGGCAATATCCTAACATAGATTAAAAAGAAACAAAACAAATCCCTATGTTTGGTTTGGGTTGGGTTGGCCACCACTACAGACCTTTGAAGTCTAGGAATTTGATTTTCAAAGAGTTTCTGATGTTTTCCATTTCCCTAGAGCAGTGGGTCTCAACCTTCCTAACGCTGCAGCCCTTTCATACAGTTCCTCATGTTGTGGTGACCCCCCCAACCACAAAATTATCTTCGTTGTTACTTCATCACTATCATTTTGCTACTGTTATGAATTAGGCAACCCCTGTGAAAGGGTTGGTCTAACCCCAAAGGGGTCGCCACCCACAGGTTGAGAACCACAGCCCTAGAGTTCCAGCCACCTCTAGATTTTAAAGCGCTGGATTCCCCTCACACCTTCAACAATCCAAAACCCACCACCTGGAGTCCCAGCCTCCTCCCAGTGACCCTCGAAGGCAGAACAGAGCTCCTCATGAGGGTTCCCAAGACTGTAAAGCTTTAGGGAACAGGCAGTCTTCTTTCCCCAGGAGCAGCTCATGAGTTTGAACCATGGAACTTCTGGCTCAGTCTATAGCACCACCTTCACCTTAACAGATGGAGGTAAGAATTGTACCTCATTTATCGCACATCAATTAGAACCTCTTACAGCAAAGCCTAAGAGTGGTCCTGCACATGGCCAGCAGCCTGGAGAGACAGTTACGTCAAGTCGAATGCTGCTTTTCCTCTATCTTTTTGCAATGTTACACAGATATCCTATAGTGGGAGTCCGAGCATGTTAAAAGACACACTCCACCAGCAAAACCTCCCTTTGATTTCCCCAGGTGACGACCCTTTCAAAACTGGGCAGGGGATGGCAGCTTCACTCAGAATAAATCCTCAGTTGCCAATGATTAAGAACTCATCTTACGTAGCATTATAAAACAAACAAACAAACGATCAACAAAAGCCTTGCTGTCATAATTATCCGGAGAAAAGGAGGCTTTCTACTCCTATAGAGGTAGAGTCTCACAACCCAAAGTGGTGTCCTGTCCTGTGCTATAGGGTTTCCATGAGTCAGAAATGACACGATGGTGTGAGTTTGGTTACAATTACAAAATCAATCTTCTTGGGCATATCAGTCTGCTTCTGATGTTTAGGATCCGGTTGATATCACTAAAACAGTCTCTTCCTATACATTGCAACATTTTTTCCCTGATAAACCTACAAACACACTGAACTGAAAAGATACTCTCTCAACCATCCCTCTTTCTCTTACCTCACACCGCTTTATGACAAACAGTTACTGTATTTGGGGCTTACTGTGTGCCAGAAACAGCTGTTAATGTTTTACATATATTAACTCATTCAATTGGTGTCCTCTTGTTGAACTTCTGTTCTGGTGGTATGTCAGAGCTGGCTTGTATCTACTCCCAAGAGACAACTATACTAATTTCTTCCCAGTTCCACGTACAGAGCGATCACCTTGGTAGTTTGGAATTGGCCATAGGGGGACCATTTACACCATGGAAATTGGCAAACAGTCCATGTCAGGATTTTACCCTCCCCCCAAGAGAGTCAGTTGGCACAGTTACCAAACCACCATGGTTGGTTAATAACTAGTACCTATTCTAGATTCTTTAACTGTTAGGTTACATACATGCGTGATCATAATTTACTGATTAGGTGATAATAAACATGACTTTATCGAAATCTAATAGTACCTTCTATTTTAGAATCATGCCATTCCTTAAAAATACTTCCCAGCAGTTTAGGCATTATCAATAAGTCAAAAATTAAAATCAAATAGAGTAAAGGTGAAAACAGGTCTCCAGGCTATGTGGGGGATTGACCCTGCGCACACCACCATACAGAATTCTGAGGGAGCAAATATACAATGACCCGCGCCCCCTTCCCCCGGCTTCTCTCAGTCACTGAGACACTCTATTAACAGCAGCGTCCACAGGTGATTAAAAAGTCAATCCAATGCCCTCAAGCATTTCTGAATCACAGAACCAAGATGACATCGAAATCGACTTAATGTTGTGGCGCTGTCACAGATACGGATCATTTGGAAATTGACCATCAGCAAGGCCCCTGGTGGCACAGAGGTTAAAGTGCTCAGCTGTGAACAGTGGTAAGATCAGGGATTCAAACCCACCCGCTGCTGGGTGGGAGAGAGATGCTGCTGTCGCTGTCTGCCACAGTCTCAGGATTACAGCCTTGGAAACCCTAGTGGGGGGTCGTCCAACTCTGCCCCGGGGGCTCCCCATGAGAGAGAATCCACTCTGTGACTTTGTGCTAGAAGTCACACTGATGAAGTGACCAGATGACCGCATTTCCCGACCAGGACACTGTTACCCCACAAAGGCAACAAGTTGCTGCGCACTTTCTACAGGTGGGGGTGTCAGCATAGGATTCTGTTCTTCCCCCAAAGGGTGATGGTTTTCATATGCAGAAAGGATATCTTTTATAATGACTGCATCTGCCTAATAATGTTTTTATCCAATGGGGGTAGGAGCCTACATGGATGGTGTCCAGTTATATCAAATGTACCCCTTTTAACACCTGTGGAAACACAGCCTTCCTCGAGAAACACTGTAAAATCGACATTCCGGTGGACCGTTTCCCTTTAATAAGGAGATGGCTATTGGGATCTGAACCCACCACACCATGCGTGCGATGGTGAGGATAAGATGGAGACGGGTCGGGGAGGGGGGGTGGTCAGCTTGGCGTCCGAGAAAGAAGAGCAGGCGTGGTGTGAACGACAGCTTTGGAAGGGGCAGCTCATTTTCCGTCACTGTGGAAAACGAAACCTCTGCACCGGTTCTTTGATGGAACGTGAGGCGATGGGACTTAGACTGTCCCTGGTCCTAGGGACCCTCACAGTCCGCTGGAGGTCCTCATGCGTCTGAGGTCATCTCCAACAGTGACAACACGAGAACAACTTCATAAGAAAGAAAATAAAAACCTGGCATCGTTTGATAATGAATCATTGAACAAGAGAGATAAGGTGACTGACGCAGATGGATTTTAAAAAACCAGCCTGGTACAGACTTGCCATTGTGTTCACTGTACATTAGAATCTAACTTTCAGAATTTTCCATAAAAGTCACAATCAATCGTCATATCTTCCATAAGCCTCTACCAATAATCACCATAAAAAACGAATCTGAACCACACCAATGTGCCTATATGCCTTACTTTTATTTAACGACCATTTGTGTGTTCTATGTAAAACTCCAGAAGACAGCTCGTAAATCATGGAAGGTGCCACAAATTTATTAAAAATAGTCCCCTGCTCCAGCTGTGGATAAGATATGTTAGTGGCCCACAGTCTTAATAAAAACGGAGGCAGGGTTTCTGGGCTGTTATCTTCCCAGGAAAGAAACAATAAATAAGCATCTCAGCCTTAACAAAAGAGTTCCCAAACCCTAAGTGTTAACAGGAAAAGGAGTATGAAAGATTACACATTTAAATATAATCTTCCTAGTTTGGGGAGCTCAGAAATCACTTAACATAATTTAATTTCCATACCATTGACATATGAGCTGCCCTAGACTGGAATCCCTCCTGGATCCATTTATACCCGCTGTTGTACATAGGCCTACCACCACTCCCCACCCCCATAGACATCTATGACCACTAGATGGTGCTGTGGTGCCCTGATCAAGTAAGGTCTCACTTACTTGCAGTCTCTGTCCTCCAAATCGAAGTGGGGGTTGAAGTTGATCATAATTCTCTGGTATTGGTCCGGAGCCTGAATCAGCCATTCACATTTTTCACTTGGGTGATAAGAGTAAGGATAGCCAGGAGATGTAAGATACCCAGGGTTTTCAATCTTTATAGTATCACCACATTTATCTGCAATAAAAAAATAACAATTTAGCAGATCTCTCTTTTATATCCAGGGAGGTAGTCTAGCTACACATAGAAATTGCCAGATATCAAATATCCCATCACTTCACTTCAAGGGAACTCCGAGAGGCCTCCCCACTGGCCCTTAAAGTGGCACAGACAAGAACTAATCTTTGATCTCTGAACATTTGCACAGGAAGCCTGGCCAACTAAGATATGAGAGGATGCCAGACCTTTGCCCCAACCTCAAAAGTTCCTTCCCAAGGAGAAGGTCCTCCAACATTAAAAACATTAAATCCCCTCAATTGATGTTAACATGGTCCCCAGGGAGCTTCTGCTAGACTTAATTATCCCCAAGAAGTGTAATCGCATTAAGGAGCAAGTTCTAAGTGGAAGGTGACTAAAAGATGCTGTTCGACCCCTTGTGTGGCTTTTTGATGATAAGCCTGGTCTATGTCATTGATCAGTGGGGATTGTCTTCGAAGCCCTCCATTGGCTTAAAGCCAAACCTTTTTGTTGTTGTTTTATCTGCCCATAAATCTAAGTGATTCTGAGTTATCTCTGCCCTTGGGATCCAGATCAACGGAGAACAAAGTATAGCTGGTGAAGCAGAAATAATTCTGCTTTACTTCTTTAAGTAAAGTTACTCAGGTTTGGAGACCAGATCAAAGCAGTGGGGCAGAAAGGAAAATAAATAGCCACACAGCATTGAAGGTAATTACCTCAGTGTTGTGTGGGGTGTGGGGCGGTTGGGTGGGAGTCACCGCAGTGAGGTCTGAGCATCACATGTGGGAAGGGACAGTCTCACTTTCCGGGCAAGGGGAGCTAACTAGTTTGGTGCCGTCCTTTCAAAGCACCCGAATGCTGAAGTCATTCATGGGGAGCCAAATAAACCAGTTGCCCAGGTAGCTTTATTGTTTGGCGTAGATTTTCATTGTCACTCTTTATGATGGATTTCAAACGGAGCGCCTCAGCTGGAAAGGATGCCACGGTTACTGAGTCTTAATTTGGATCAATAAAAATTCAGTGCGTAAACTCTGTAAGAGGAACAGGTATGCAAGCAGTGAAATATACAAGCCTATCAATCACAAAATTTCAGCAATGGTATATATAGATTTTAATATTGCATCTAATAGATTCCCTGTGGAAAGCGAATGGTGGTCTTTGCTCCCAGCATGAATTTCTAAATCTATAGAATTTTATTACAGGAAAACCAGGTCAAATGGAAATGAAAGATGAAGTACACATCAAAAATGCATAAGGCTCCATGCATTACAGAAATCAGTTCCCATAAATTAAAAAGAAGGTAATAGACACTATAGGGTGTTTTTCGCAATGGCTCGACATTTCTGTGCCTCTCCATCCGGGGAGGGGTGGTCTTCTACTGATTTCTTTTGGAGGAGCTTTGGATTTGCCAAGAAGATTTGCCAAGAAGAAATGATGTTGCAAGCAGAGTTCAGAATCTCAGCTAATGATCAAGTTGGCCTCCGTTCTGTGATTCTATTGAGGGGTGTGCATGATGTTCAATGTGCAGAGAACTTGGAAAGGGACCCTATCTCATTAAGTCCCCTCCAGCTCTGTACAAACATCATGGCAGAATCTGGCATCTGTTAGGGGAGTGAAATAAAACAGCACCTCTTGTAGGCACTCGACAGAGTCACTTCAGAAGACATTTAGGTGGACTCGGTACCACACCAGAGCCCTTTAATCTGTGACTTCTAAGAAAGTGACAGTGTAATAAGATAATGTGGACTGCTAGACTCCCAGGCTCTGTTAAATCTCTCTAACAGTTGATTAAGAAAGAGCAATTTCTAATGACTCTGGACCATTAGTCCTAAATAAGGTTAATGAATTAATTTAGCAGATACTGGTACTCGGAGGAGGTGGACATGGTCTTAAGAGGGCCGCTGAATTACAGCTGCTGAGTTACAGGGGCATTCACTGGTGCTGGTCACTCTAAACATAGCAATGTGGCTGGAGCCAGGGGAGCTCACTGAAGGACACTCAGGTTTACAGCATCCCCTACATTCCTCACAGACACATGGAAGCGCGCGCGCGCGCGCGCGCGCGCGCACACACACACACACACACACACACACATTTGTGGAATTTACAATCTAAAGTCTGAGCGATACGTATATGTGTATATATGTGTGTGTGTGTGTGTATATTTGAAATTCACTTTGTGAATTTGAGCACCTCCCCCACTGTTCTAACCCCAGGCGTTGGCCAGGGCAAAGCGTGGGCTCCTATAATCGCCCAGCCTACCCCGGGCAGTGCATGCTCTTTCAGGTGGGCCAGAATGTGATTTCATTCCCTGGCAGATAATGCAAAGATACCACCTCCAAACTCCGGTCCATTAATAAATTGAACTCCACATTCACAATCTTTCTCTCTGTGTGTTCAACTGCCAAGTCTGTCTTCTATCACACCGGTGGGGCGCTGTTGGAGGGGGTGGGGGGGTGGGGCGGGCGGATCTATAGCTCAAATCACAAAACCTCCAGCAAGCATATTCCAGAGATTAACTTCCATCATAAAGACGTGATTTAAATTCCTGTTGGTATCAACTCCTCCACTTGCAGTCTCTTATTAAAACAATATACCACCGAAAGAGGTGGCTGTTCTCTGCTTCTAATTCCTTTGATGGAAACCCAAGTCAGGCAAGAGTAAATATTTGATCATTAGCTAATAATAATTGCCAAAGACTTACTGTAAAGATAATTTCATACCCTTGCCTACACCCACTTTGCAATAGAAGCCAAGCGTGCCTACAGCCAGAGCAGATTCTAAAACACATGATTTGTTGATACCCCCCCTCCCCCGCGCTGTCTTTCATGGGCTTAACTGTGAGTGGTTTGAAAAGCAAAGTGCAAGCTGCAACTAGGCTGGGGACTTCCAGATATCCTGGTGTCTTACATGGTACATATCAGATTCCATAATTCACACTATGCAACTTCCATTCAAACTCCGGGCGGATTAGGGATAGACAAGTTACAAGGCTGGGGGCGGGAGGAGGGGGCGTCCATCCACCCACAAACCGCTATCTTTCGCAGGCACCCGCCATAGGAAATAGTTAGGGGTAGCTGCAAGAGAACCAGGAAATTCTCCCGGTAAACTGTTCATTAACTTTTAACTGCCATCAGATTTTTGAAAGGGAGGCTCATCTAATTGCCTTGGGGAGGAAACATTATTAAGATAATTGGCGTGCTGATCGGGGAAGGTAGGCAGCGCCTGCTCCCAATCAAGATCGGAAAGCCCCCGCAACCATAGGACTTCAGGTGGGAGCCAGAGGGCTTGAAAGCCTGTGGCCAGCAACCTAGGTTCCATGTCGCCATTTCTCCACCTGGGTAAAAGTTTCCTTGCCCCAGCCCCGGGGCGGTGGAGGCGGACGGCTCTTCCCCGCGCTCAGCCCAGTAGCTCCGCGTGGGTCCGCTCGGTTTGCTGGGGTGGAAGGCTGTGCCCGAAGGCTGTGTCCGCCGAGTCGCCCGCAGCCCGGGAGCCCCGGGCACCGCGCTGTCAGACGCGCCTCCGCCTGTCACTTACCGTTGCGAAACGCGCTGGCCAGGGCGAGGGCCACGGCGAGCGCGGCGCTGAGCAGCGGCCGTCCCCTCTCCATTCTCCCTGCTCCGGAGCCCCGGGCAGAAGCCGGCGAAGGAGGTCGTGGAGGCAAAAGCGAGCCCAGAGAGTAATCTGAAAAATCCCCAGCGCTCCCAGTCCGCCCGGAGCTGCAAGATCCTCCCGCCGGTCCTGGAGAAAGGAAAGCCGCCAGGCCGTCAGTGCCTTGATCCCCGAGCAACGCTTCTCTTTTTGTGTCTCAAGTCGCCTGCATCCTGTCCTTTAGCTCCGGCTTCCTCTGCCTTTTCCCACACTTGTTCCTCTTCCAGAAGCCACTGCCCCAGCCATGTCTCAGGAAAAAAAAAAAAAAGCGGGGGTTGGGAGGGGGAGGAGTGAGGTAGGGAAACACACACCCGAGCCAATTTCCAGAAAGGGAAAAAAAAAAATCCAGATTGTCTCCGGACCCGTCGGAGCCGGGGAGCTGGCGCCCAGGGGAGGTCCGGGGTGTCTGCGAGCAGGAGAGGAGCGAGCAATGAAAAGATGAGCAGGAGACGAGAGAGGAGTTTCACCAACTGCACCCTCGTCTCCCCCTCCCCCTCCTTCCGTCCTCCCCCTCCCCTCCTGGAGCCCTTCCCTCGCTTCCTCCCTCCCCTCTCTGCGCACGAGCTCGCCAGTAATTGCCTGACAGGAGACGGGGAGGAACTCGGGTGCCCTCCCTGCGCTTTCCTCGGCCGTCTGTCCGTCTGTCTCTCGGAGGCCCTGCAGGGAGCTTCCCCAAAGGAGAGCGCTGTGGGTCTGCGGCGCGGAGAGCGGGGGTCGCGGGCGGGGTAGCTTGGGGCTGGGTGTCCCCGAGCCGG